GTACGTTCGAGATCTTGGCATTGCAGGTTAGTAGGATGTTGTCGATAGTGCTTATGTTTTCATGAACATTCTTCCTCTAGAAGTTGGTGTTGGATATCTCTTACAGTGAAACTTTGCTTAATAGTGCAGAAAGTAAGGGTTGCAAAGCCCTTTTGATTCAATTGATCTTTTGATCCAAAAACCATTCTAACTTTAAGAAATCACATGTTAATAATACAATTTAGTGCATTTATTTTAACTTATAACTTGGCGACTTGACTACAGTACACTTTAAAGTGAGTTTTGAATTCCTAGCTGTCGTTTTCAGTTGCACAAACTGTTGATATTCTGGGCATTACATCTACTTGCATCAGCCATTCTAGCTCCTTGATCCTTGACTTCAATCATAGCTATGCTCAAAATGGAGCAGTAGCCTCTGGATCTACCGCCTATTGTCTCTAAATCCAATGTTTCATCATCTGGCTCATCCTGAATGGCCAGATAGGTACTCTCAGCTCTTTCCTCATCATCCTTTGGGTTGGAGTGGGATAAAAATTTCTTCGTAAAGTAGTTTTTATAACAACTTTCCTACATTATATAGAAAACTAGATTGTGTTTGAATACCAGACTCAGTAAGTTAATTAGTTTATCAGTCCAGTGAGCTATTGAGTGATTTCATTCAGTGTAAAAAGTCAGGGTTAGTGCATCTAGGATTCAGTTAATCGGTGAGTTAAGTTAGAGTGTTTGTGTCGATCGATTAGCGGGGAAATTCTGCAAGTAAGTTTATAAGTAAGTTAAGTGTTCATTTTTTTGGGGGGGCTTCTGTTGAAGCATTGTTTTTGATGATGGGTGTAACAGTGAACATAGCCTGTAGCAAAAGTCCCTTTGGCACTCTGTATCTTCAACAATACATTGGCAGCTGTTTAGTTGTATGTCTGGACAATAAAATGCTTACATAACCCTTTGACTCGTACATTTCAAAGATCTCTGAATGAATGCAGTTGAAACAAGTAATAAATTTTTTCAATCCCTGACAGGTG